ACAACCCCATGAATCTTCCGATCAGATACTTTACAGATATCTAACGACTGAGATGATATTGCGTTACTTTGAGGACCTGTGTGTGCACACTTTTTGCTCTGTCTTTTGTTTAGATTAGACAACCATTACAGCTTAATATTCTACTCGTCCTCTCATATTTAGGATTTCTTGATTAACTTCTGGTGAAACTCTTATTGTACCTCGTGTGATTTTACATTGTCTTAATTGATGGTGTGAATTATATTTTCGAAAACATATGGTATTTCAAACAATTAAAGAGATCACCATATAGACAAAATCAAACTTAACTCGATAGAAATACATTATTTCAATAGAAATGCGGACACACAGTCACGATAGTGCCTGTCTTTCTGCTAGTAACACAAGAACAATTATTTCCCTTCCATAGAGGGGGCAACAAAAGTTGATGAATTTATTATAACAAAAGTAGTTTCATCTTTGAAGTTTTCAGGGAACATATATATATGTTCGATCTGAAATGGTCCTCCCTCGTCCTTATTTATCGCTTTAGCATGGAAAGGACCTTAGACCAAGCTGGTCTTGCTGTAATATCAGAAACCCATGCATTAACATGGGGTCGTGATTCAAACAACTTCTTGCTCTGTGTGCTCATCAAGTAATTAATGGTGGGAAGGTGATGCAGATCCGCCAAGGTGAAGCACTCTCCTGCCAAGTATTTGGACCCTGACAATGTCTTCTCATAGAAATCAAGAACAGTTCCTAGCTTGGTTTCGTGCTCTTCCACTACTGCTGGATCCGTTGTCATCCCATACATAGGCTTTACCACCTGCTCCCACACGAGTTTTGAAGCTGCTTGATCATACTGATGGTTCTCTACTTCTATCCACATCCTCAATATTGCCATCTTCTTCGAGTCGTTGCTTATCAGTGGGGTCCCCTTGTCAGCATACTCGTGAGCAACATATTGAGTTATTGCCCTTGATTCTGTATTTCAAATTGCAGTTCAATGTTCCATGTTCAATGATAAAGGGTATTAACTAAGGGTATCACTTAAAAGATAAAGACTATTGTTAGCTCAATGATCATGTTTTTCATTAATCTTTCTATAACATGTAGATGTAGGACAGTGTTATTAATTCTTTCTGGTTTGAATGAGAAAATAGATTATCACCGGTGTAAAATGCCCATTTTATGACAAGTTTCTATGTTTCCCAGCCCCAGATCTATATCGATTCAAGAACTTATATAGAAAATTCTAAATAACCAAAAATCTCCCTGACAAGTGTATGCACTACCAGTGAAACATCGTGTATTTGATAATGAGTCTGTTTAAATACAGTCTAGAAGACTTTTTAGAGATTCTTAACTAAAAATAAGAGTATTATCTTTCAATTTTTAGTGAGGTTTATCCAAACATGCTGAATATGTGTTACATATACATTAGTTACGAGTCTTACGACCATAGGCAGCTGATAATCCTAGACTACCCCAGTTAATTTTTTCTACTGCTAGCATTTGTATTTCTAATTATCAATGAATGTATGCAGTCATATATGTCATACCAAAGAGCTTCAAATCTCCATCTTCAAACGCTGGAACTTGGCCAAAAGGCTGCATCAGATCGAGGTGAACAACAGAATTGAGAATCAGGTAATATCAAATGCTAAACATGGTTGGAACATGAAGAAAAAATTGACTAGATATAAGTGAGCGTGGCGATGCTTACATTAAGGGAAAGGAAGGGCTCCTTTTTGTGTTCACCATTTTTCATGTCAACTTGAACAAACTCAAACTCAACCTCCTTCTCGTGCAGGGAAGCAGATGCTCGCATGGTGGCTGTTGAGAAAGGGTTTCCATAGAGTTTGATTGGTGCCATGATTGAGCAGATCTGAAAATTATTTTATTCAGTGAAGATGGAAGGAAGGGAAGAGGAGTAGGTGGAAGGGGATGGTTTGAGTCCTTGAAGTGAGGCTTGTGATTAGTATATAACATTGGGAGCAGTTACGTTCCTGGAAATTTTCAACGCAAGAAAGATTTAATTTGTTGGATAGCCAGAGAAGCCACTTAGTGTAATAAAATAACATGCACGTTGTAGAACTCGCTAAAATAATAAAATATTAACATTGACATGGACATAGAATATTCAAAGGCATATCTCGTAATTGTTACTTTTGGAAGTAATATTTTTCAGTGAGGTTCAAGTTTCCTCATGTTTACGTACGTTACACATGCGTTATATTTTACATATACCCGGGAGAAATTTCCGTACCTTAAGAGTTACTCAATAATTTAATTTATCTTTTCTATCAAATCTTAATCATTTAATTATTAAATTAAAATTTTTAATGCATAAAATTTATAATTTTTTTAAAAAATTTAAAATTATTTAATATTCTATTTCATTAATCCAAATCAACAGATAAAATATTAAAATGATTATTTATTAATTTAAATTAACCTTATATATATACGTGTGTGTTTTAACATTTACAAATCAATTTTTTTATTCACTTTCAGATCAAATCAAATTAGTCTAAAGGGATGAAAATCACAATTACTTATCTCACTCATCTATCTTACTTTTTTAGACAAGTCTAAGATGGAATCTTAGAATATCAATAAAAAGAAAATATATCAACTTTTTTATCCATTGAAAATTGAATAAAAGACAAATCAAATCTCCTTGATTAACAAAAAAAAAAAAAACAATCCACAAATATGACACATAAAGTTTTTTATTTAAAAAAAAAATTAATTTGCATTTAAATCTCCCTCCTTCGTGGTCAACTACCCACCCTTTCTCTTCCTAGGATAATAAAAATTTGATGTAAAATATAAAACACCGAGAAGACTTGGAGCAAGTAGATTTTTCTCTCTCTCAATATATAAATAAATAAATATATATATATATATATTCAATATCAATTATAGTCATTTTTATAAAATTATTACTATTATCCATTTTACGATTATTAATATCAATATTGTTCATCGTTGTAACTATCAACACCATTATTGTTATTGTTATCGTTGACACTACCATCACCGTTATTGGTGGTGGCAACGATGACACTGGTGACGTCATCCTTGTTAGTGACAATGACAACAATGACTACAATGATATTGGTAGTAATAGTAGCAATGATGATAGTGAGTGATGATAATGTTGATAGTTGTGTAAGGGATAATAGTAATAATATTATAAGGAAGTGTTTATAATTGAGTTCTAATTTGGACCATTAATTTTTTTAATCTATAATCTAAAGATTATGATTTGCTCACACACGCACACACATAATTATACACAAAGATATTTCTCAAGAAAATATTGTGTAAAAGATAATAATAATCTTATAAAAAATATTATAATTAAAATTTAATTTTAGCTATTGTTTATTTTTATTTATAATGTAAATATTATAAATTACTCTCGCACACGCACACATTGAGACATTCTTCTCATTTATTTTTTTACGAGATGAGACACACTATTGTTAAAATATTAAGAAATTAAATATCATATTGTAGTATATATTTGTACAAATTTGCTTTCCATAGCGATGACCGTGGTCCTGATATATTTTGATTTAGTAGATTTTCAAAATATAATTAAAAATTATAGTTGCTATAGATAACAATTTTTATTATAATTTTATAACTAAATTTTGGCATGTGAAATATATTATTAATATTTATAATTTTATATTTTTTTTAATCATGATATTGATACGATGTATTCATTAGTAGAAAAATAATCTTTTACGTCACTATTTTCTCGTCGATCAAAACAAAAAACGACGTAGAAAAGACGCGGTGGCATTTTTGTAATTTTTTTGAACTTTTTTACATCGGACTTAATAGGGTCCGACATAAAATGTAAAATCTACGTTGGATGTATCTAATGTCCGACGTAAATTTTACATTTTACGTCGGACTTTATTATATTCGACGTAAAAAAGGTTTCTATATTAAAGTGCAGGCACCTTCTTTGAATGTGCTAAGCTGTGGAAGAGAGGTTCCAGATGCTCTCCGCTGAAACAGGGCTTGAAGCCTTCGAAAGTTGTGGAAGAGAGGTGCTTTTTTCTTCATACACACTAACATTGCAGATGGCAACAAGAGAAAGTTAGATTTGCGCCTTTTGGAGCTCCACTCGGCCTTTAGCTTGCAGCGCGGCTTTGGCTTCCACGACGAGAGAATGGTCACGTTTCCTTTTCCCATGTACAAGTTCCCTTTTTTATGTATTTTTCATTTCCTTTTCCCTGTCTACTTTCCATCTTCACTGCTAATTGTTCTTTTTTTCATTTTTTTTAATATTATTATTTTAAATCTTTGCACCCTCTCGATTCTTCTGCATCTGGAATGGCAGAACGACCCGTTTTCCCTTCAAAACGGCCCGTTCTCCTTGCAGAACGGGACGTTTTGAATGGAGAACGGGTCGTTCTGCTTGCAGTAGTTATTTTTTTAATAATTTTTTTACTACTTTTTTACGTCGGATTTGGTAATGTCCGACGTAAATTTACGTCGATTTTACAATGCCGACGTAGATTTACGTCTCCCGCTTTAACGTCGGTATTTTCTCAGACGTAAAAAGCTCAAAATAACCGATATGGAATACCTCTTTTGTACTAGTGATTGACCGTAAAAAGCAATAACTAATTTTTGTTTAAGACTATAAACAAACTCAAGATGAGTATTTTTTCCAACATAATTTATTTCATATTCAAAGCCGGGATTCAAATCTTGGATAACTTGATCAGGTAATAAAAGTTGCTACTACTTGTGTAGCCAATGTTAGTTATATATTTAAAAGACTATCCAATTTTTTTAATAAATATTTTCATTTGTCCCTCTCAACTTTTAAAATGCATTTGTGACACACAAAGTATTGAAGAAGTGGGAAGAGGAGGTTGTAAGTAGGGGGTGAGTATATGGAGTAAAGTTTGCAGACCGATTCATGTAGCCTGCAGCCTACAAATATGGGTCAAAATTTTAAAAATTTGTATGGGTATAACAAAATTTATGGTCTAGTCTACATTTAATTTGCAAGCTTAGTTTGCGTTTATTAATAAGTTAATTTTATGCATTTTTTCCCCTCATGTATTTAATATACAAAAATATTTAAGAAATTTTACTAAACAAAAATTCATAAGTATGAGTGTACTAACCGTACTTCGCACCCGGGCTCCGAGCCCGGATTAGCAATACAAAACAACCCCG